TGCGTTTCCTTATTAATTTTCTGTTTGGATGAACTGTCCATTGGTGTAAGTGTAACTGTCCATTGGTTTCCCACTATTATCGTGTTACTGTCTATTTCCCCTTTTAGAGCTCTTAGCAGTTGCCTTACATATTGAGGTGCTCCTATGTTGGGTGCATATATATTTATAGTTGTTATATCTTCTTCTTGGATTGATCCCTTGATAATTATGTAGTGTCCTTCCTTTTACCTTGTAACATTCTTTTTTTTTTTTTGCAGTCCGTGGGCCTCTCACTGTTCTGGCCTCTCCTGTTGCGGAGCACAGGCTTCGGACGCACAGGCTCAGTGGCCATGGCTCACGGGTCCAGCCGCTCTGCAGCATGTGGGATCTTCCTGGACCGGGACAGGAACCTGTGTCCCCTGCATCGGTAGGCGGACTCTCAACCACTGCGCCACCAGGGAAGCCCAACATTCTTTATTTTAAAGTCTATTTTATCTGATATGAGTATTGTGACTCCAGCTTTCTTTTGATTTCCATTTGCATGGAATATCTTTCCATCTCCTCTCTTTCAGTCTGTATGTGCCCCTAGGTCTGAAGTGGGTCTCTTGTAGACAGCATATATATGGGCCTTGTTTTTGTATCCATTCAGCCAGCCTATGTCTTTTGGTTGAAACATTTAGTCCATTCATGTTTAAGGTAATTATCGATATGTATGTTCCTATGACCATTTTCTTAATTGTTTTGGGTTTGTTTTTGTAGGTCCTTTTCTTCTCTTGTGTTTCCCACTTAGAGAAGTTCCTTTAGCATTTGTTGTAGAGCTCATTTGGTGGTGCTGAATTCTCTTAGCTGTTGCTTGTCTGTAAAGCTTTTGATTTCTCCATCAAATCTGAATGAGATCCTTGCCGGGTAGAGTAATCTTGGTTGTAGGTTCTTCCCTTTCATCACTTTAAGTATATCATGCAACTCCCTTCTGGCTTGTAGAGATTCTGCTGAGAAATTGGCTGTTAACCTTATAGGAGTTCCCTTGTATGTTGTCATTTTTCCCTTGCTGCTTTCAATAATACTTTTTGCAAATTTGATTACTATGTGTCTCGGCGTGTTTCTCCTTGGGTTTATCCTGTATGGGACTCTCTGCACTTCCTGGACTTGGGTGGCTATTTCCTTTCCCATGTTAGGGAAGTTTTCTACTATAATCTCTTCAAATATTTTCTTGGGTCCTTTCTCTCTGCCTTCTTCTGGGACCCCTGTAATGCAAATGTTGCTGTGTTTATGTTGTCCCAGAGGTCTCTTAGGCTGTCTTCATTTCTTTTCATTCTTTTTTCTTTATTCTGTTCCTCAGCAGTGAATTCCACCATTCTGTCTTCCAGGTCACTTACCCATTCTTCTGCCTCAGTTATTCTGCTATTGATTCCTTCTAGTGTAGTTTTCATTTCAGTTATTGTGTTGTTCATCTCTGTTTGTTTGTTCTTTAATTCTTCTTGATCTTTGTTAAACATTTCTTGCATCTTCTCGATCTTTGCCTCCATTCTTTTTCCGAGGCCCTGGATCATCCTCACTATCATTATCTTGAATTTTTTTTCTGGAAGGTTGCCTATCTCCACTTCATTTAGTTGTTTTTCTGGAGTTTTATCTTGTTCCTTCATATGGTACGTAGCCCTCTGCTTTTTCATCTTGTCTATCTATCTGTGAATGTGGATTTTGTTCCACAGGCTGCAGGATTATAGCTCTTCTTGCTTCACCCTCTGGTGGATGAGGCTATCTAAGACACTTGTGCAAGTTTCCTGATGGGAGGGACTGGTGGTGGGTAGAGCTGGCTGTTGCTCTGGTGGGCAGAGCTCAGTAAAGCTTTAATCTGCTTGTCTGCTGATGGGTGGGGCTGGGTTCCCTCCCTGTTGGGTGTTTGGCCTGAGGCGACCCAACACTGGAGCGTACCCGGGCTCTTTGGTGGGGCTGATGACGGACTCTGGGAGGGCTCATGCCAAGGAGTACTTCCCAGAACTTCTGCTTCCAGTGTCCCTGTCCTCACGGTGAGGCACAGCCATTCCCCCCACCGCCTCTGCAGGAGACCCTCCAACACTAGCAGGTAGGTCTGGTTCAGTCTCCCCTGGGGTCACTGCTCCTTCCCCTGGGTCCCGATGTGCACACTACTTTGTGTGTGTCCTCCAAGAGTGGAGTCTCTGCTTCCCCCAGTCCTGCCGAAGTCCTGCAATCAAATCCCGCTAGCCTTCAAAGTCTGATTCTCTAAGAATTCCTCCTCCCGTTGCCGGACACCCAGGTTTCAAAGCCTGACGTGGGGCTTAGAACCTTCACTCCAGTGGGTGGACTCCTGTGGTATGTGTCCTCCAGTTTGTGAGTCACCCATCCAGCAGTTACGGGATTTGATTTTATTTTAATTGTGTCCCTTCTACCATGTCACTGTAGCTTCTCCTTTGTCTTTGGATGTGGGGTATCTTTTTGGTGAGTTCCAATGTCTTCCTGTCGATGACTGTTCAGCAGTTGTGATTCCAGTGTCCTCGAAAGAGGGAGTGAGAGCACGTCCTTCTACTCTGCCATCTTGAACCAATCTCTCTATATGCTCTTTTGAAATGTGACTTTTTATAACTGAATAAAGATATAATACTTCCATTTTATGGAAATGTATATATATATATATATACACCATTTTACAAAAAATTTATATATGTAATTGTATATATAACATGTGTGTCTGTGTGTGTGTGTGTGTGTGTGTATATATATATATATATATATATATAAACAGTTTGAATCACTCATTGAATAATACTGAGTGACTGAGTGCCAGAGATCCAAAGGTGGACAAGAAAGACTGACTCACTGACCTCAAGGAACCTAAGTCCTAGTGGAGCTAACATTCACTCAAACAATGTTTGTCTAGCTTATGTGACCAACATCATGAAGCTTTAAGGCAGAGAAGAAAAACATACTTATAAAATTCTCTCCAAAGTAATCCTTTCTCAATAACTAATTACTGCTTAGCAACACAATATATGACCAAAGGAAAAAAATTTCATAGTGAAATAAAAGGTTTTGTATAAAAAGGGGTAAGTAAATCACCAGAATCATACTTGGAAGCTCTGGGTACCTCTTGTTAGAAATATTGTGCTTTTATGGAAAAGACATTCCACTCAAGTTCTTCCAAATCTGACTAAAGAGGTTATGTAATACCTCTGAGCCTTCATTTTCCCATTTGTACAAAAAGATAATAATAGCCATTCCATGGGATTGTTGTAAACATGGTACATGCCTGGAGCACAGTAAATGCTTCAATAAGCGTCAGCTGATTTTATTAATAATATTATTTATAGATGCTCAGTTCTTGATCAGTACTCAACCAGTGTCAATTATATCTCTCCAAAGAAAATGGGAAGAATGAAATCTGTTTCAAATTTCTCCAAAATATGGAAGACCTAAAATGGTATTATCAAAGTTCTCTTAGTCATTACGGGGAAAACAATCTCATTGTGTTCACAGGGATGTTTGGAATGAACTGGAAATTTTACATGCAGTCCCGGATTCCAATGCTGTATTATCTGCAAAGACTGTACAAGCATCTCACTCTCCTGGAATCTTCCTGTGCATGAGCAACATGTTGGAAATTACATGCCCCATTAGCACCTTATTACAAGTGATGACTGTGTAATTTCTCTGAGGCCAGATTACAGGATGACAAGAAAGAGGGCATTCTAGGAGAGACGGCTGGTCACCCAAAGCCCACAATGTCACAGGTGATCTTTAGTAGGAGATTCAAGGTCAGAGTCTCTCCAGACCCAGTCAGACTCTGCAGGCAGCCCTCTGGGTACCTGTGTCCTCCCCAGCACCAGACTCCTAATCAAACAAGTGCTGGATACACTCAGTAATAGGCAGGGTCTCAAGTTAATCATAACTCAAATGATATTTCACACTTAACCTCTCTCTACAATTCAACTCAGTTTCAGAAAATTACAACAGAACTTCATAAATGCTCACGGCATTTCATCTCACTGCAAAATTAACTGACTAAATAAGAGGTCACAATGTCAAAAAAGAAATGAGATAAAAAAACACAAAGCAAATAAGAAAATTACAAGGTCAAATAAACTGCCCAGCCAAAGTTGTTCTAGCAGGAAGATCACCTGGAGCCCATTTGCAAAGTTGGACTGGACTTCAAGTTATTGGATAATTAACATATTACACTGAGAGCCTCCCACATTATTTTTAAAGTTAACAGTTAGGTGTCAACAAAAAAGCAAAGGTCACATTAATGAAGCACCTATGTCCCCAAAACTGTGTTAGGTGCATTACAAGTATAATCTTAATGCTGGGACCATTAACCTCCCAGTAAGATTAAAATGGATTATACTCATTTCATCTCTTTTAAAAGCACCATAAATTATTTGTGGGGTATTTAAGAGTTTTAAAAATCACACCCTTCGATACATCCTTCTACGACTAGAAAAGTAAAATAAATGTGTATAAAATGTATTACTTGAATGAAGTTGGAAAGATGCTTCATTCATACATTTAAATACTTATCTACCTCAAAGAACCAGATTCTACACACACGTACAATCATGCACATACATGCTTGAGTGTTTTTCCAAAGCCACTAAACTGAAGCCTGAGAAGAATGGCTCTGTATAAACCTGGGACTTCTGATTTGCTGAGAAGAGGCTCCAAGTTTGGGGCCAGAGTTACACACCCTGGATAAGTGAAGCTCATTGGAAATCCTCCTCCACCCTCCCCCACAAAGGACGCAGCAGCTCCCCTAAATCAATGTCAAAGTCCGGCATTTAAGAATATCAGTTTGAAAGGGCGCTAAATGAGCAGCCTCCCCAGCGCACTCCTCTATTAACCCACAGGAGGGGCGCACGCACGCGTCCCAGGTCGCAGGTGCGTGATGACAAGTCACGCTAATCTCCGCCTGCAAAATAACGTGCTCAGACCATCACCGTCATCGGAATGGTGCTCTCGCCAGAGGAGCACCCGTCTTGGCCAAGGTCTGAGGAGGTGGGGCCCGCTACCTGACTTTCTCCGTGGCTCCTCCCGTTCTCGGCCTTGAAGATGGACTTGGGCTTCCGGGACTTGAAGTTGCCCATGCTGGGTCGCAGCACGTCCAGCCTTGCGGGCTGCTCTACATGCTGCGGCGGCTCGCGGGACGGCACGGGCTCCTCTAGCGGAGCCCCGGCATCGGGATAATTTTCTTTATTGTCTTCATCTCTAGAACAGGAAAGACCCAATTTAGAAAGCACCCATTTTGTAGAAGGTGGACATGCTGGCAACAGGGAAGACAAGATCAACAGGCTTATTAGAAGGATGAACTAAGGTATCTACCATGATTATTTTTGTAATCTGGTCAGTTAATAAACACTGACTGCTTTCAAATTGAAAACAAAAACAAAAAGAGTCTAATAATCTGCCCTGGGAAAGAGAGGCTGGCGATACTCACTGCTGCTCATTTACACGGTACCTAGCAAACATTTTAGTGTAGACTGCTTCAGAAGAACTGAATGTCACTTTTTAGATCACGCCATATTCCCTTGCCATCTTTGCTAGTGGATACATACTTTCTGTAATTGTAGCTTTGCACATACTATCATATTTGTTTTTCATTTCTCACTTCAAGATAGTTTCACATATGTCATGTTTTTCTCTCACCAATGATAATGTGAGATATTCCAGTTAGCTACTGTCATTCCTACATTATAGATTAACACTCTAAACCCCAGAGATTAAATAAAGGGCTAATTCACCCAGACCTGGAGTGGTCAGGTGGGTCCCCAGTCTCTCATGCATGTGTCCTTGGTTCAAGGCATGATGCTTCCTCCTCACTGGCAAGTCTCTAAACACCTCCTTACAACTTTCAGACGCATTTAAAAGTCTAACTGGGGTCTATTTTAATAGAATACATACTACCTCAATAGAACTAAGACAAGAGCCAAGTTTTACCCAGCCAAGCCATCTATCTGAACAATGCTCTCAATGCAAAGCCAAAGACCCCAGTATCTGGGTCCTGAGGGTGTGGAACGGCTGGAGAAGACTGACCTGGCTGGCGTTGCCTCCACACACTCAGCGCTGGGAGGGCAGCGTTCATTTTCACGCATCAATCAAATTCAACACAGCATCACCCTGCCCCTTCAATTGCCTCAAAAATAGTGACATAATAACACTCTTATTTGAAGTCATTTGTCCCTCTTAAATCTAGATGCATTTTATTTTGCTAAGAATTCAGCAACTACCATAGCCAGATGGAGCATTCCCTTTATACAATCAATATGATTGTCCTTAACCCACTGGCAATCATTCAGTACTAGATCATGCAATTCTGCAGGACTGGCCACTTCCCCCAGGTGGTGTTTTTCCCTCCTGTGCCCTGACCAGCAGTACCCATAAAAGAGATTTTGGCAAGGTCAGCTAGCAAGCAATTCCTCATGGCTCAAGGATACACAGAGCCAAGAGACAAGATCAGCAAAAGAAAGATTTCTATGTCGACTGCTCAGGATTCCTTTTTACAAATAAAAGATTAAACTCACTAAGCTGATATCAGGAAGATGAGCTCTGGTTAGTCTCTGGGATAAGAACACAGAAAAGATTGGGCCAGGATGTCTGGAGCATGGCTGGGGTGCATGCAGTTGGACAAGACATGGAAATAAAATTATGTGAAAGAGTTAAACTTAAGCCTCAGGACAAACTTAGTATCTGGTAAAGGAAAACCCAACGGGTGAAATAATTCTTCGTGATAGTAACTGAAAACAAAAACAAAACAAACAAACAAAAAACAAAACAATCTCAGTGACACTGGTTAATATTTTCCCTTAAGATCATCTACAATTAAAAAAAATTGTATGTCACTAATGGGTTTGGAAACCAATATCACACCATGAGTTGGAACTACACTAGTTCATTTGAAATGCATGTCTCTCACTAGTGACAAATACTACTCATCCACACACCCTATGCTCCTGGGTGAGCAACAAAAGAAGCAACAGCGACCTCTACCATAACCTAAATGTTCTTCATTCTAGGAGGATTCTAGAACACTCAAGAATAAAAATGATTTTTCAAATCTAAAACGACGCTTTTGATAGACTCCTTCCTAAAATAATACCTGAATTTTGTTTTATATATCATATTTTCAAGGTGCCCAAAAGGTATAAATGTCATCCTTGACTTGAAAAACGGGGCAAAAAGCATCTTTCTCTCATTACACAAATATAAAACCAAAATAGAAAAGTCATCTTTAGAAATACATTTCCAACCTATTACCGGTTCCTCAGAATCCCCAAAACAGAATATAGGTAATGTAATTTATGTCACCGCTTACTGGAATCAGTCGTAACTGAGAATGAGCACGGTGTTCTGAAAAGAACAAGAGTCCAAAATATCCTCCTACTTGTTAGAAATGCAGCCGGAGCCACACCACCTCACCTCTGTGACCCTCATCCATAAGATGCGGGCATCTCTACGTGACAGAGGCAGTACAGTCTCTGTGAAATGCCTACCAAAGAAAGTTGACTCAAGACCACAATCCAATAAATGGGGGCTACTCTCACTTGGGGCCTTGGGCGAATGGTTATTTGCAAAGAAAAAACTGAAGGTTATTTTTAGTCTTCCCAATACCTCCAGGATAAATTCCAAACTCCTTAGCAGGGTATATAAACCCTTTGTAAGCAGGTCTTTGTTTATCTCTGAAACTTTATTTCTTACCACTCCTGGCATCCTCAGCTCTCAGGGTTCCTGCCATCCTGAACTGCTTGCTATACCTTCAAGTTGAATTATTTTCTCTGCCCTCTGTTGGCTTGCCAGTAAGTTGCTCCCTCTGCTTGGTTTTTTGGCCTTATATTCCACCAAAAAAAGAGTCATGTGCCATGTGTAATTTTCTTCAGGAATCCATCCCAGAAACCTCACTGGGCTATTTGGTCATTCTAAGTGAATCCTCTGTTTCCCGCTAGTAAAACAGCACTTAATGCACCGTAGCATCATCATCTATATTCTTGCCTATCTCCTCCAGTGAACTGAATTCCTGGGAGCAGGGATTGGTTTGAATTTCTCCATCCCGTATCTCCACTGGCTTCTGGCACACAAAAATGTATGAAACAAAGGCCTTCAACAAATGTCTGTTATCCAACAAGTGTCACACAGACCAGTGTCCAAATTCTGCCTCGTAGCGGCTGTGTTATCTCGGATGAGCTATAATCCCTCTGAGCCTCAGTTTCTCCATCTAGGATGAGGAGGGAAACGTCAGCTTCCTTTCAGTTGTTTAAATAATAAAATGCATGTGAAAGTGCTTGAGTGAAGCAAATATAGAAGAAATGGTTAACGTGAAGGTTCTGCCATCATATCATGAACCCAGTGATGACCAAGATCACACTCCAGACACTCAGTGTCACGTTTGGTGAATAAATCTAGAAGCTCTTCCTTAAGGTCTGTGATGGGAACAGATGTGCTAATCAATGCTGAATTCAATAGGCATTTACTGAGCATTCTCCATAGAAAAGCTACCGCCCTGAGTGCTAAGGCAGGTATACAAAAGCGGACAAGACAAAACTTCCTTCAACAGCTGATAATCTATTAGAAGCAACAGAACATGAGAACAAAGTATTCGAATTCAAAGAAGAGACTTAAGATACCAGACCCAGATGGTTTCTGGTCCTTCATAATTAAGAACCAAGCAATGGTGAGTCCTACCTGAGACTAGAGCAGTCAGTCTGATCTTCATGCAGAGAGACTGTGTCTTCGTCACACCTGGAGAGAGGAGATAAAACCACATTAGATCCAACTGTCTGCTGCAGCAGAAGCAGCAACAGTCTAAAATTATCTGAAGATTAGCACAGGAAACTAAAAAATGGAACAATCTTTACCACTCTCACTCAAGCCAGCGTCAATTCCCCAGCGTCTACCAGGTAATGATACCAATGTTGTCATATCATGTGAGTTTAAACGCTCAGAACCAGAGGTAACACTCCTTTTTCGCCCACTACCCTGCATCACCTAAGCAAACAAGATCTTAGCAAGAACCTAAGTGTTCACAGCACTTGAGGGAACATCTGACACCAACACTGGTGAACTGTTGTTGGCTCAAAAGAGACTCCGCTACATGCCTCTTGGCATTTCTTCTGCCTCAAGGCAGTCCCAAACCACACCAGCTGCCCTTTGGCTCACTCCATTGGCCTCCAGACTTTCTTGACATCCTTCCTTTTCACAAAATTTCTGAAATAACCTTGTCAAAAATTCTTGGCTCTTCCATACTGAAAACTCTCCAGTGTTCCACGCTGCCTAAGTGCCTCTGGAGGAGGACCATTCTCTCACTCTAGTGTATGAGGGAGCCTTCGTTCCTATTCTCAGCCCTTCCCACCCCACCTCACCCCACCCCACTCCAGCCTGGAATGCGTTTTTCCATCTTCAACTCCTCCTCAGCCTTCAGTGCTCCAGCCTCACAAGCTCTGCGAACTTTCCTCGCCAAGTTCACCCACGTGCCATGTTCCCATTTTAACCTTAGTACAGAATGGTTTACTCTTCATTCTGAGCTTTTAGTAACCAACTAGATCTTGCCTAGCACTGTTTTGTAATTCCTTTGTACCTCTGAGATCTTTTAAATTAGTTGTTAATTCCATGAAAAGAAATAACCATCATTTCTTTTTCTAGGTACACTGCCACAGTGCCTACAATGTTACCCCAGAGTAGACACTCAATAAATGCTTGAATCAAATCATTAACTCGGGCCCCTCAGCAAGTCTGTTCCCTGGAATAATTGAACAAGCGTTTATTGAGCACTCACTGCCTTCCAAGTACTGCCTTAGGCATTGGAGCTGTGCTTCTCAAACTTTTGGGGATTCACGACTGACCAGTTGGTTTTCTATTTCCAATCCACCGTGGAGAGATAATTTGGTAAAAAGGTCGCAGGAATATCAAATTCCTATAAAAGTTATTAAAGGCATACTCCCTATTTCTGTACTGTTCTTGTCTCAGACAAGTTACAGACAATTTGCGAACAACACTTTGAGTAGCACTACTGCTAAAGGACAGAAAGTTGAGAAAGACCTAGACCCTGCTCTGACAGAGTCCCAAGGTAACGAGTAGACATAAATAAATAAATATCTACCCACATAGATATAACCATAACACAGTATTTATACTACATGAAATCTTTTAAAAATTGAAAATATTCCTTACCAGCAGTGGTGTATAATTTACCCACAAAACAAACTGATGAAAGCTTCAGTCCTCTTCCCTTACCATCGCTTTTAAATTATGGTTTTGTAATGGATTAAACAAGGGCTCTAACCTAACAGACTCTAACCCTCTTTACCTGCTTGCAGCTGGGGGAAAAAGAATGCACTGACTTAACAAAATGCTCTCCTTAACAAAATGAACTCGCTTTCCCATTTTTTTTTTTTTTTTTTTTTTGACTCTCGATAACCCACTTTGTCCACCTCATGGAAAACAACAATTAAATTCCTAAATGTTGTCTTGTTCTCCTCCATTAGAGGCATTCACTGTAACAGACCATCTGAGCTGCACAATGAATAAAAATGGTTCCCAATAAAAACAACCTGGCTAAGTAGAAAAGCCAATGAAGAACAGAAATCTAGAATCGTTGCTTCCAAAGAACTAGGGTTCAAACAGAGTTTCAACCTTAGAGCTCAACAATACCTACTGTTTGGGAATTTGGCAAGAACTATTCTTTCTCCCCCTCATTTGATTTATTAATGTTTCTTCCCAAAGTACAATTAGTTAAAAATAAGAAGTCGGCACCAGAACATACAAAGTTGCAGATGCTTTCTGAAATATGAAGCCAGACCTAATTAGCTGGTCCGATTTTAAGGACTACTGAACAACTCCAGTCATCACTCAAGAAAACACAATTCCTAGCTTGCAGACATAGCGATGAAATAGATCTCCTTATGGCTTCCGTGGCACACATATGCAAGCCCTTTTAGTTCAATTTTCATTTGCTTTGACGAAGACCATCAAGCTCTACTCAATTAACATCTTTCTGATTGCTCTACTGATCCCTCGCCCAGGAGCCCCCCGCAAATGCACGATACTGGCCCAATTATAAAACTGGACTCCACACTGGGAACCCATATCCAAATATTCCTACTCCTGGAAAAAAAATCAACTCAGATCAAGTGTCCAACTGGTCCTGGGCATGAGATTCTCTTCCTACATGTTAAAGACCAACCCTTTAATGATGTTCTTTGTAAATTATCAAAACCAGGCATCTTCTAGTACAAACTTTTTCAAACTATAAATTGTGACCTATTAGGAGGTCCTGAAATTAGACAGCAGCTACCAGCATTTTGTTGTTACTATTGATAAACAGAATAGAAAATGTCAGTATAGTGAGGGTTAAGTGTTATTTCATGAAACTTGTTTAAATAAACCATGTCTATACATTTGTGCTGGATTGCAACATAAAATATGTTTATTGTTGTTCACAGTAAAAAATGTGAAGACACCTCTATTAAATGACTTCTTTTGAGGTTCTCATCAACTAGACTCTAAGTTCCCAGAGTTCTTAATTTGTGGTTGCCCAGACACTACATGGATAATTTGTCCTTGCCATCATTTCTTTGTGAAACGCTCAGGGTTGTAACTCTTCTATTTGGACTTTTGCTTCCTCTATCAACCACAAACAAGAAAAAGTTAGATGGTACTTTATAGCTCACCTTCTCTTTCATATGATCTCAATTAAGCCTGACAGTGGTGTGAGGTAGGAATTACCTTCACACAGGGGCTGAGGAATTTCCCAGGATTCCGAGGCGTAAAGCAGTGATGCCTGTGTCGCTTCTGCTCCACCACACTAAGCCCACTGAACAGTCTCTTCAGTCTACGTTCCCAGGGGTTCACAAGAGAGAGAAAGACTTGTTCCTTAGGATAATGGTGGAGAAAGAAGTACCCATGAGAGGTTCTCTTTTTTGTCTTGGGGTAAATAAGAAGAGAGATCTCAGACTGGTGATTAGATAAAATGTAGTTGTACCCAGAAGGGGACTTCTATTCCCTGCAGTACCATGTCCCTTGAAGGCAAAGTTGCAGGGGTATAGCCTGCAATCCTGTGGGATTTCTCAAAGTGTGTCTGATTAAAATACAGGTTCCACTATATACAATATCCTGGGATAAACCATAATGGAAAAGAATATTAAAAAAATGTGTGTGTGTGTGTGTGTGTGTGTATATATATATATATATTCCTGAATCACTTTGCTGTACAGCAAAAATTAACACAACATTGTAAATCAACTACACTTCAATTTTTAAAAATAAATTAATTTAAAAACTGGGAAAAAAATAGCAAGTTCCAGCCTCATCCCCACCCCCAGCCCCACTAGATCAACTCTCTGGGGGTGGAGCCCAGGAATGCGAGTTTTTCTGCCCTCTCCCCACATAACTAGTATGCTTCTGAACAGTTCAACACTGACCTAAAGGTTTAAAAACCCAGACCAGCAAGTGGGCTGACTCCAACATAATCACCCATTTCTAGGTTCCCACTTGGGAATAAAGTCTGGGAAGCTGGATTTTTCACAAGCCCCCATTCCCTTCCCCAGTTGATACTGATAATCAGTTGGCTTTGAGAATTACTGCTTTGCATGATAACTAATTTGTTGCAGAATTCACTGCTGGGCAGGCTTCATTTCAAATAACGGGTTAGCCAGGGCAACAGAGGAAATGACCGTGGAAAAATAACAGATGAAAGGGCGCTGCAGATACAGAAGGAAGGCCAAGGCCATTCTGATCTCAGAAGAATTTGGGTAGCAGAAGAAATTGAACTGGTCCAGAGCTGCACAGACAGGGCCAGACATGGGAGAAACTGAGAAAAGCATAAAATACATCCTTGAGTCCCTCCCAATTCCCCTTCGCCTTGACTCTTATAAAACCCCCAGCTGGCAAAGCAGAACCCTCTTAGGTTAGACTAGCTGATAATATAATTTATACTAAAGTATTAATGACAATTTGAATCCACCTCCCAGGGGCACAAACTTTTTAATTTCCATTTTAATAAGGGTCGCCACCAGAGTTCTTCATCCAAAAACGAAATCACCTCTAGGTAGAATTTCAGGCACTAAAAAAGATAAGTACATGTGGGTAGGAGGAAGTAGGAGTGAGGTGGGGATAGGAGAAAGGGGACGTTTTCTCGTATCTGAAACACATAAGAGAGGCAAGTGCCTCCTCTGTGCATGCCGAGACCAGACGTGAACATTTACTGATTACATGCCACTTCTTTGTCTCAGTGTAGGGCATCCTGGTCCTGCTGACCTTATGGTCATATGCCCAGAGAACCACGGAAAACGGTTCATATTACTGAGGGGAGGAGAAAATACTATATTAGATGATGACTAGTTTTAAATGACCCTCGTCTGCACTGTTACACCTATGAAGATTTGGTAAGCTTCAAATGTTCTCCTCAGATTTTTAGATTAGCCAGATGGCATTTCCATTGTCACTCAGTGCCTTTTAAAATAAATCACTGTCACTTCTGTGAAAACAACAACAGGACCTTATGCAATCAGAACTCCTTGGGGAGTGTCCAAAGACGAGGTACCAGACTTTCCCCAGCATTTAACTATAAAACCATTTTTTAAAAATTGTCCATGTGAAATCTAGAATTAAGTAACTCCATTTTGAAGCTGCTATGCCTATGGCTGACTTTTGGGATTCAGCCACACAGGGGTCCTGAGAATCAGGCCCAGAAAGCATCTGGTGCTGTAAGCACAGCAAAAGGAGGAAAGCAATACCTGTGCACCTGAACCAGGGAGTCACAGCCTCATCTCTGGCCTGCATACTTTGGCCTGCATCTCTCCCCACTCTTAGGTTTTTAGAAAAGCAAAGTTGTAGCACCATTACCAAGCAATCTCATTAAGGGGACACAGCAGGTCCCAATGAGTATTTTACATTGGATCTTCTAAAATCAACCCTGGGCCTTTTTTAAAAAAAAAAGTAACTAAACTTAAGTGAGCCCAAAGCTCAACACTGAGAGAGCAGCATATCCAAACAGAGAAACAAAGGAATGTGAAAAACAAGAGGGCCTGGGAAGCCCTGCAGCCCTCCATCACCAAGTCATTGTGACAGTGACTTGAAACTCACATAATTTATTTGCCATTTAGGGAACTTTAGCAAATAACTCCCAAGTTACCGTGACTTCTATATCAAACTTGCAGCGTTTTTAAATGTAGTTGAGTATACAACTTTATACCCCCTTTTTTCCTGAAAAAATGTTTAGAGTGACGTCTATCGTAAGGTCCCAGAAGTAAACATAATGAGTTAGCCTAGAGAAAGACTACTAAATAAAGTATAGATATTTCATACATAGATGGATATATGTAAATTATATATCAGTTACATACAGTATTAGCATAATATACTACCTGTTAATTTTTAACATATACATATAACATAGTATTAGAAAAACATATTAAGGAAGGGATGACAAGAATTAAAACCACAAACTATAAATATCTAATAAAAAAATACCATGCATGCTGGCCTTGAGTAAAATATTCACTCCTTCATTCCATGTTTGAACGGTGTTAGTCGTCCCAATCGAAAGCTTTAACCATGAGACTAGATAACGCATTCCTCCTATAGCCAGATCTCTGAGGGCAGAAGACAAAATTGACAAAGGGCATGCAAGAAAAGTTTACTCTACTGTGCTTTAAAAGTCTGCACACAGCAGAGGGTGAGACTAAGTTTAGCCTATTTATCACATGCTGGAATCCAACTCATTTCACATCCATCTCCTATTTGCCGTAAATGTACACAGCATGCTCCATGAAAACAGACACCAACGTTGGCAAAATACAACAAAGCTTTCCTACTGACATGTCAAAGAGATTTATTTTTTTTTTAAATCTAAACTCCAAGAACACATATTTTGGAGCACTGAGCTCCCGCAGGCCATCAGTTTGTTTTAATCGCTCTCCCGTAGTTGCTAAAAGACTGATTTCAACCTGTAAAGATTTCTGGGCCCCATCAGTCCCCACATCTCGCGGTCTTCACAACCCCAGATTACAGGAGACAATGCATCTAGTACCCAGAGCGGCTGGAAACGGCAGAGGATACCTTCCCGATAGCTGCTTCCTGAGAAAGGCATGCAAATCTTATTTTAGTGACAAAAATCACTTACTCTGTTACAGCGGTGCTGCTGAAGGAATTATCCTGAAGGCTGAAACAGAAACAAGAAAACATCAGCCAAGTCCGGCCGGGGAGCCGTCTCCCTGATTGCTCTCCGGGAGTTAGAGCACATACACAAACATGGCATTGCAAGGCAAGTCTCAGGGCTCCCCGGCACACTCGCTCTACCTTGGGCTGCTGTCTGCACATGCTCCTAACGACACCCCCAGCAGGGGCCCGGCCGCACGGGCGAACCACAAAGCCCGGCAGCCCGCGAGGCTGCGGGGACAGAGCTGGGCGGGGCGCGGCGGCGGGGCCGGGACCCGGGACCCCTCGAGGAGCACCTGGAGCGTTACCGCGCGACCCCAATCTCGCCAGCCGGGCGCCGCGTTTAATCCGGGCCTCCCGGTGCCCGCCACCCCCGGGAAAGCCTGACTGTTTCTGCCTAGGTGCTGAAATCCGCGGGCGACTTGCTTTCTTCCAGGCGTCTCCTACCAGTTTTACAGAGATACCTCCCTCTAGGGATGGAGGCTCGCAGAGATTCAGAGACCGTTCAGAAAAAGCTGGAAGGGAACGAGAAGGGGGAGGGAGACATAGCTGCTGTTTTGGGGGTGTGGATGTGTGGGTGTGTGTTTATTGCCCAGGAAAAAGAAAAGCCTCTGAAAGAGGGCTAGCTGCATCACACCAGATCTGTCTGCATTCTGTTATTTCAGTCCCGAAGAGGAAGCGCCCAGCCCCGGACTGCAGAGCTGTGAATGAGCCCACGCAGGGCGGGTGAAGAATTTGTTTTTTGGGGGGGGGGTGGGGGGGGGGGGGGGGGGGGGGGGGGGGGGGACCGTGAGCGAGATGGGGTTTCCTCTGCAAGAGCAGACCGCCCGAGCTCCACTCCCAACCACCTTTACAAAAGATGAGAGAGCAAATGCACCCACGCTACCGCCTTTAAATAAAGGCAGCCTTGCTGGGGGAGGGGAAGGCTGTTAGCCCCTACTTGCTTCGTTACCCTGGAGATGTTTGTCCTGCACTCTTTC